CAGGAGGATTCTTGTCAGCAAGTTGCTGGTAAAAAAACAATGAAGAATTGAGAGGAAAATGTGTCAAAAGTAGAAGTTTGTATAGTTATGTAAATAATTCTTTTTTATTAATCACTGTGTATATTTGATTTATTAACTTAATAATCAAGAGCCTTAAATATCATTCCTTTTTTATTTATATGTATGTGTTTAGAGCTGAAGGTTTTTCATAGCATTGTAAGCTTATGGCTTCTTTACTTTTTTACTTTTTTTTTTCATTGTTACATGTTGCCTACATGCCAAAATTTAAATGTTCTGAAATCTGTTTTGTCTTATTTTTAATTTTTAACAATAGGAAGGGCTTTCTAGCCTTCGATGCTGACTTTTTGTATGATGTCAAACGTGTCTCTTTTATTCCTTTGGGAAACACCTTCCATAATAACACATTCATATTTTTTGTAAAATACCAGCCAAGGCAGTTAGATCTAGATTTTTCTCTCTCTCTTTTTTTTTTTTCTTTCTGGCTGCTTTAAAGATGGGGTGGGAGGGAAGGAAAGGATGACAGGCAGATTATCTGCTTCAGAGCAGTTTAAGGGAACACAAAGGAGCTATAACTTCTGTAGATGAAATGTGAGAGTTGTGAGTGGTTGCATGTAATTAAAAAAATACTGAATTAGTGTGTGAAGTTGGAAGCACCAAAATCTTATTTTGTAAACTCTTGATTTTTCCCCCCACCAAGAATAGTAAAACTGAATCACCTGTAGATTTGATTTCTTTCCTTTGTAATCTACTGTATGTAGAAAGTATTCTGATAAGCTAGTTGTTGAATACTTGAACAGTAGAATGTCCAGTAAGATCGCTGTGTAGATTTGCATAGATTCCACTGCCCGCCTTAAAAATAAGGAAATCAAAGTGCTATTACAAAAGTTGGACGATCAAATAATTTAAAAAAAGGATTCAAACATTGACCACTTGGATCACAAAGATAACTTGTATGGTAATATTAGCATTACATGAACATGAAAATACATCTCTTGATGTGTTATTCCTGGCAATAAATCTTGAAAAATATTTATTAAATTTTTTTTTGTATAAAACTCTGAAAAATGAGCTTCATTGAGCTGCTGACTTCACTGTCTGGCAAAGACATTTTTCATAGCATAAGCACCAAGACCCTTTCCCAACTCAGTGTCATCCATATGTTGGAATACAACTCAAAAAATGTCCAGGTTGATGGTGCCTGTGGAGTAGGACATCCTAACGGCTCTTTTAGAAGGGTATAGAGCCATCGATAGGGCAAGATGACACACGTCCCCACATAGATACACAATCCAACTGTGCTCTCACTAGGTATATGTAATTGCACTGGATCTCAGCTTCCTTTGCTTGATTGAGACTGGAAGAAACTGGGGCCTCGTGATCATGTGCACCCATTGCCACTGTTGTGGGAATGGGGAATGGTCATTTGACTACACTCCTGTCTGGAAATTGTAATTTAGCATATTTGAAGTACAGCCAATTAGGAAAGACTGGCCTCCAATCTCACAGAGCTGAGGAGTAAAGTGTAAGGCTGCATCATGATGATCTCTTTGTTGATAAGTTTTATGATAGTGCAATTCACATGTGAGATCTGGCTGGGTTCAGACAGCATATGAAGCCATAATATGGTCTGTTCGCTTTTGCATTATGTGAACCTGGCAGATTACCATTTATTAAATCATGGCTAAGCAAACTCTAGCTTAATGTGATTTGTGAATCCAGTCACGATTTCCAATGAGTGGATTTATGCTGGCTGCCCTGTACCAGGTTTCAGCAATTATATGTGTTAAATCTAGTCAATCATGGAATAGTCCAACTTAAGCCAGCAGGATTACTCCCCTGGAGCATATTAAATGTCTGTTTTTCTCAACATCAACCTTCCAAGTTTCTTCTGTATATTCTCTGAATGCTACCATCAACCTTGGATTGAAGACCCAAGACTTACAGAATAGCCATATTTTCCTAAACATTGGCCCAATTCCTTTCAACTTGATCTGGAGATTTCTTCCATCGTGGAACTCATAGTGGGACAGACAGGATATATGAATTGTGACAGGACCTATTTGGCTTAATGAGTCTTGACACGTTCCCTTTGAATGATTTAATAAGGTATTTTTCTTTGCTTTTACTAATCGTTTCTGTGATTTAAGACAGCCTTTTTGTTATGCTGGGCTTGCAACTCCAGCCTCTGGAGATGAAATTCCAGTTTACGTGCAGGATACCAGGGTGAAGAAGGGGCTGATTGGGGAGGAGCTAATAAAGAGCTCTTTAAGATGTTGACATCTGTTGGAGTGCAGAGATGAGATGGCTGGCTTATCTATTAAAGCCAGTTGTGGTTACTAAAGCTGATGTGAGCTTGTTTAACCTCCAACAAAGTTAAGCCATGTTGAAAAGAATGCCTGAAGCAAAGAGGGCTGTTTATGATATAAACAAGAAGCCTGTCCTGTGTTGCAAAACAACTTAGGCAAGAGCAATTTCAGTTTCCCCATGAGCAAATCCTTTGAACTCTGTATTTTCTGATTATTGCTTGCTACCATATAACTAAACCAACCACCATTATCTTACTTCTTAGCATTACAGAATTAGGCTCTGATAAAAATCAATCAATGGAGATCAGTCTTCCCCAACCTGGCACTCCTTAATTATGCTGGGGTTACGACTCCCAGAATTCCCAGTTAACACACCTGGAGAGTGCCAGCTAATGGAAAGCTGAGAGATCATGATAATTTCTTAGCTGTGAAATCTGTTTCTATGACTGTCTGTTCAATGAATATTGAACAAATAATTGTTGATCCTGCCAGTTGCATTCCACACGATCTCCCTCTACATGGTGGAAGAGGTCTTTTCCAAGTAGCTCAGCTATGCTAGAGGCTTGTGCTGTTGCATGATTGAACTTCTCTTGCTCCTCTGCCACTTCACATGGACTCCCTGAGCAAAGGCAGGAACACAATGGGCACCTGGCATTTTATTTTCTCCGTCAAAATGGGAATAGTTGATGTGTGTGACATGGAGGAGAGAGCACCCTGACCATTCTGCCTACCTTTCCAAGTCTGATGTCCTCCAGCCATGCTGGCCTACTCAAATTAGAATTCTGGAAGCAGCAGGCCCAGCACTTTGAAGGAGCAGCAGCAGATTAGGGCAGAATGCATTTAACCTTTGGAAAGGTATTGGAGGGAGAATGATGGATCTCCTCTGTTGTTTGTAGTTTGCAGCAGGAACTACAGGATGGCATTCACTGCAATTAATCATCATGAAGATCCCCTGAGAATGGGAGATTTTTCAATCCTGAGCCTTTGGCAGGGGGAGGGGGGTTAAGAAAGTTCCTTGTGTTAGATACCTCCTGCAACTTTTTGTACTATTCCTGTTTCTGGTAGGACTGTGTTTCCTATCATGAGCTGCAATCTGTTAAAGTACAGGCTCATTGTACAAAGCAGTATTTTGATGGTATCTTACCAAGGGGCCAGGGAAGTCCTTACTAGATAAGAAAGTGGGGATATGTTCGCGGATAAGAAGCAACAGCACAATCTCCTTGTCTTGGGATGATGCAGCTATCTCATTGATGGCCTCCCTAGAGGGGATGGACATTCTTGCATTACGATTGCAACGAAATAAGAGAGATGCAGCAGCTAAGACCAGAAATAGCAGCTTAAGGTTATATGTTTCATATTTCACAAAAAAGGGGTCCCTGTTGTAACTCAGCTCAACTGGTCGTATTGTATATCCCCAATCTGTCTTCCAGGTGAGCTGCCAGAGGGTCGCTACTCTCTCTCTCAGTTGTTGCTCCATCTTCATGATGTAAAGCAATGAGTTGGAGTCACGCATGCACAACTATCTTTATTGGGGATTTCTTTCTCTTTGCCCCAAAGACAGCAAGTTTCCTGACACATTAAGGATTCTGATGGGTATCTTTCCTAGCTAAAGTTTGTGCCCTGGTTCAAAGCTCTGAAATGAAATCACATGTTCAATTTCCTGGGAGGAAAATTCATTTCTCTTCTGCATTCCACTGCATGTTTGCTTCTTCATAGAGATTTGCAAATATTATTGCTATCCTTCATCTACTATAAAGTGTTCTTGGATTTTAATTATTGGCATCTCCAGCCAAACCTCTGAGAAAAGTCCTGCTTTTCTAAATAAATATTTGGGGGGTGAAATACCGTTGCCTTGGCTTTACATCACCTGCTGCAGTAGCCAAGTTGCCAGCTTCCATCTACCTATCGAATTGTATCTGGCTGTACGCACAAGCTTGCTTCATCTGACGGCTGCCTCCGGTTGTTTCAGGTTCATACAAACCAGTTCGAGCTCATGAGTCCAAACATGGTAGCAAATAATACTTACATAGTGTGAGGGAGGCTCCAGCTGTGAATGGAGCACAATTTCTGCAAGATTCTGGAAAATTCACAGACCTTGTGATTCTCAGAAGCCCCCTTTTACACACCATGTCCTAGAAATGGTTGTTTCCCTCTGGGAGAGAGAGGGCCTGGTCTCTTGATAATTCAAGATGATTGACCTTCCCACAAAAGTGGGGCTTGTGTAACCACAACCAGGATCGGGAAGGATATATACAGACCCACCATGTTGTTCTATTTTGGGGTAGGCAAAGTTCAGTCTATTGCACGACAGAAGTAAGAAATGGTAAGCCAAAGAAATTAAAGGCATGAAATCAGGAAGAGAAAACACAGCCAAAGCTAGTTCACACTAGCAGCATTCATGGTACCTCGCCATACCCTTAAATCCTTGCAAACCTTCCTTATTTCCATATATCC